TCCTTCGAAGCTGTGTGTGGACAGAGTGATTAGCTCTCTTGAACTCACACTTACCAGGAAGAGAAAAGGTATTACATGCCTGAGTGCAGTTCCCTTCCTGCTTTCAATTTGTCCCACTTCCTTGAACTCCCCATGCTGGAGACATCTGGCCACTACCCCCTCGGTTTTGTATAGATTGGTAGATCAGAAATGCAAGATAAATAGAAACATCAAGATAATTCTTAACTGCTGAAGATTCCTTAAGAGAGTGCAGAGTGCAGCATTTTCCTAAGTAAGATCTGGTACTGACTCAAACACCTGAAGGGGCCACTCCACAAAGTTTTTGTCTCATTAGATGATGACGATAATGTAGATAAACAGTTTGAAGCATCAGATAATACAGAGATCCTGAAATGTTAAACACAGTCCTCCTATCTATAGCATTAATAAATGGTGGTGAGATTTGAAATACCATGTTTACCTTCTTAATTCTTAACTCAAAAAGTTGAAAAATACAGCTTGGAAGGTTTCACCTGAGAAAGTTATAGAAATAAGAAAAATAATACTTATCACAACTTTGTTTCCGCATTAAAGTATCTCCTGTGAAAGTGTGTGTGTGTGTGTGTGTGCACGTCTGTGTGCGTGTGTCTACTTCAACAATACTGTGTTCAGTGTATAACAAATTAACCCTTTTCCTTGACTGGCTTATTTCAATGGAATTCAAATAAGATGTCCAGAAGGATAAGAACTTCCTTACATTGTTTTCTAAAGGATTAAATAACCAAGGTAAAAAATCTAGAGCTACTCATAAGACCACTAGTTGCAGTGGCAGCAGTATGTTGGTTTCACATGTTATGAATGGAATCTACGGGTTCTGAAAAGATTCAGCAACTCTGGTACATAGGCATTTTATTTGTCTTGCATTTGCATTGATTAGATCATCTTCCCAAGGAAGGGTGAGGTCTATGGGTACAGCATCCAGGAATTGCTATGAAATTATTTGAGTTTAGAGGTTGTGCAGAGAAATTTGCTAAATAAAAAAGTGAAGTGGGGGTTGGGGGACTAGGAGGAGGAAGGAGAGAAAGCAAGAGGTTTTAGATCTAAACACGAATGAACCTTTTGATTTCCCAGGCTAAGAGGTGTGACTTGTGTATGTCTTTTGATCACTTTCTTTCTCTAAACTGTGAATTGATATACTTATCTTCTCTGATACGAGGACACCCTTGAACAAAGGAGGCAAGTGAGTTGCCTGGTTGTTTTATTAATATGAGGTCTGCTGGCTTTTGTAGGGGCCCAGGAAATCTGGATCCCTCATCACAGCCTATATGTGATGGGTTTTTCCGACACAACACAACGGCACATGGGAAACTATTTTGTGAGGATGTTACTCTTACAGAAGACTTTTCCCAAGAAATAAAATATGTATCTCTGGTGAAGTGACAATACGTAGGCTATTCCAGCTCTACTTGTAGATTCAGCAGTATCCCATTTATTGATCTGAATATTTATATCCATGACAGTAATGCTGTGATTGTTGGTATATTTGCTGTGAGGAGCTGGGCTGGGATGCTGAGGACATCACCTACTGTTTTTAAAGGTCAGCATTCTCAAAGCTATTTAAAGAACCCCATCATCACCACCACTTTCGACCTGTGTTAAAAGTAATTCAGTGGAGGCAGTTTCCTTTCATTACCACTACACCCCCCAAATAATTACTGCTGACCTAGAGGCCTTCTGGATGGAGATGTATGTTGGTCATTTTTCTTCTTTTATGTAGTTCCCTCTCATCTGAAAGTTTTATAAAATGGTCATTGTCATTCTCCAGTTGAATCTATGTACAGTTGTTTTAGTTTGTTACAAAGTGTGTCTACTGCTCACCTGAAGTCAAAGAGATTCTGTTTTAGTCCTCATTCCTAGAATGAGGTTTGGAAGTGGGGTGGCACACCCAGTCGATAACTTTTCACGTGTTTTTAGTGGCCAGTAACATGTACCCCGGGGATATTAGATTGAGTCAGGGGGGCCAATCTGTACTTCCACATCCATGCACCCAGTAACTAATATTTATCGTGTGGCCACTCTGCATCAGGCACTCTGTTTAGCGTAAGATTTAGTCCAGAGTTGGGCCAAAGAGAGGCTTCAACCAAATCCTTAATCACCTGATCTGACCTGAATCAGAGCAAATGAACCTGTTTCCTTCAGGTGACCTGTGTGAAAATCAGTGGTGCTACTCCATTTTCTCCACCTGCTGTCCTGTAACTCACAGTCTCAGTCGCCTCTAGGAATTTTTGCAGACCACGGCTTATATTTTATAACTTTTATTTTTTGGCCATGACGTGTGTAAACAGGAAAATGTATCAGTAAATCCATTTAAGAAAATTTGAGGACAAATATGTTTTATTGGAAAAAGAAATGAATACAAAGTAATTGGCCTCTGTACCATGTAGTTAGGAGAGCATGTCTATAAGCCAGAGAGGTCTGGCTAATGTTAAATCTCAGAAATTAAAGTTTGGGGCCTTTTAAATTTTCAGTTTTTGGATGATATGTCTTAAAACAGGCTAATGAATGCACTCTCTATTCTTCAAGGATTTAGAACTTCTCTGGCTAATATTAACATTGATATAAGCAAAGTCATGTTGAAAAGGACACCCAAATAATGAAGAATGGACACTATCTCTCCCATGGGCCAGGACCCTGACTACTTTAAAGCTTTGGGGCAGTTCCTGAATTTTCCTACTGTTTTAGGGTGCTTCCTTTTTCTTCCAAGTAAGTCAGTCAAAAACTTTCTCTCCACAAATATGTCTCTCTAATTACAATGAAAGAATTAACTACAAACTCAAGACTTTAAGTATTTCTTCAGTACAGTGCTGAGTTTCAAGACTCTATTTGTGAGGTGGAGATAGATTCATTTTTTTCAGAAATTTTGTCTTTTCTTAAAGCAGTATCTTAAAGGTTAGAGATTATGGCCATAATTTGATATCCACAATTTATAATCTTTAGCTAGTAGCTCAACCTTTTTTTTTTTTCAGACTCTACTGAGGTCTTCATTGCAAATGAAGCCTCTCTAATCTTCACCCATTGTCCGTTTACACATGAGTAAATATGTTAAACTGTCCGTAAAATGATAAAATAATTCTAAAGATAAATGCAAAATGACTTTTCCAAAGACACGAAACAGTACATTACATTCTACTCTGAGTCATGTCTGCCAGCATTCCAGAGGCCAAAGATTGGATAAAACACCAATTTAAAAGATGGGGGGAAATGATTCCGTAGTGAAGAATTCCAGTTCCTTGGGTTGGGAGCCTAATTCTGGAGGAAAGGTGAAACATACAATTTTTTCTTACCTTTGTAATTCGGCAATTCTTAAGCTAATAAATTAGAGTAAGTGGTTAGTTCGAGACACGGAGAAAATTGGATACAGCATGAAAAATTAACAACAGTGTTAATGAGAAAATGGCTTATAAGTCCTATGCTTGAATGTAGTATGCAGAGTGATTAGGTCTTCATAAAGTTGTTAATTCTAAAAAAAAAAAAAAAAAGTATTTGATCTCTTTTTAATGTTTCCAGATCCCGCCAAGGTCAAAGAAGACAATCTTTGCTTTGTCACATTATGTTCT